CCCAACCAAGTCAAAAAAACAAGACAAAATACTAAAGAATCCCAAGAAAATTATTCCTGAAAAAACCATAGAACATTTGCTTCTTGTCTTGCTTCTTCACACTCTATACACAGGTTATGCATTGTCTTTTCTGTTTCTGTTTCTTCTTACATTTTTTTTTTTTTCTTTTTCGTTTTTTACAAGAAAATAATTCTGGTTTTAACTAATCTGTATATATATATATATATATATATATATATATGTGTGTGTGTGTGTGTGTGTGTGTGTAAATGTGGCTTTACAGGAAGTGAAAAAACTGGTTAGAAGGTGAGAAAAATGAAGAAGAGAGAATGGAGTTGTGTTCTTGGATTGCTGGGCATTTTTCTTCAGATATTTTTGTTGGCTGAATCTGCATTAACAAGAGAGTTAGAATTCTTTCCCTTTCTTTAAGTTTTATTATAATAATTTCATTTTTAGTACTCTGCTATTTGACCTGCATTAATTTAAGAAATTGAAGACTAAGGTTTTGTGTGTTTAATATTTGTTTCTGTCATCTTGTTGTTTGCTCAGTTAAGCGTTTGATTTTTTTTAAAGGTGGTATTTGGGTCTACCTCGACTATTTCATTTATATATGCTATCTTTTATCGGTATTGAAATCATATAACTCTACTACAAAAACTTGAACATATGGAAATAATAAACATCAATTAAATTTTTTTTTTTGCTGGAATTTAAGCGCTATTTTTTCCAACATTATTAACCACTAATCCACTATCCTGAGATGCAACTGACGAGTCAAAATCTTAATAACTGAAAATTGTTTGTGGGGTTTTACTTGGGTTTAGTGGCTAATCTAATTTCGGAATTCTCTGTACCTTAATACACTTGAACTTCTAGTTGAAGGGTGAGATGGAGAATTAACACCTTATTTTTTCTCTTCCATTTATTATTTCTGTTTTATTTATTGTTCTTACTTTTCTTTCCCTTTTTCTCTTTGTATTTTTCTTTTCCTTAAAAAAAGAAAAGAAAAACTCATGGGTTTCATTTAACTACATTCCTCCCTCTCAGTTAAAAAGAATTTTGACACACAAAAAGATTTGTGGTCTTTAATATATCATAAAGTATTTTGGCAATAAAAAAAATATCATTATGAGAAAATAAATTTTTTAATGTCAACTAGGTTTCTAATATATAAATATTTATTTTTTGATGCACTATAAAAAAGCTATGAATAAAGACACCAATACTTATATTAAGGTAGATTGTCTACATCATATCTTTTCGATATCATTTCCCTGATCTTGCTTGAATACGAAATGCACAAGGTTGCCCTTTTACCAAGTATTAAAAAGTCCCACATCAAATAGAAATGTGAGTCATAGATTTCTTCTAATAGTTTAGTCAAAATAGCATTTATAGCCAGTTTTCGGACTGGTCATTCAAACATAGCCAGCATTTACTAAGTCAATAAAAAATAGCCACTATTTTGCTGTAACAGAGACCGGTCCAACATAATATACTGGAGTTCGGTGCACCTGTGTATGAACTCCAGCATATTATGCTGCAACGGTATACTTAGCTGGCTCCAGTATAATATATTGGAGACTGGAGCACTGGTGCTCCAAACTCCAATATATTATGCTGGACCGGTATACTTGCTGGAACTCCAGTATAATATGCTGGAGTTCTAGTGTACTTATGTTGGAACTCCATCATATTATGCTGGAGTTCCAGTATACTTATCCTGGAACTCGAGTATAATATGCTGGAGTTCAAGTATACTTATGCTGGAACTCCAGCATAATATACTGGCATATTTTTCGGGGTTTTGAACATTGTTTTCGTTCAGATTTATCTTTACATGAAAAGTGACTAAATTTTGATTACTTTTGGAACTGAGGTTTTTTTGAACGACCAATTGTAAATCTGACTATTTTTAAATTTCTCCCAATAGTTTACATATATTGCCTACTGAGAAATTAAAATTACTCCTTGTTTAAAATGTCGCAACGTATCTGAGCAATTGACACTTGTCAATTGTTTATGTGATCGAGTGGCGAAAAGTGGTCTAAGAATTTGCCTTTTCAGATTCACACACTTATTTTTGTTCTCATATGAACTAATTTGTCATCTTTCTATTGAACATTTTCACCGAATTTATGGTCCTATCGTATCATGTTTTTCTTTTTACTCCTATTGAACATTCACACCACACAATAAGATCTCGTGAACAAAAAGAAAAAAGAGAAGAGAAAAAAGGGTTTATTTTCTCTCTTTACATTCTTCGTCTAATTTCTCCAACCACTTTGAATTTATATGTGAACCCCTTAACTTTAAAGAAAGGTATTCCGGCCTTCTTGAGATGACATTTAATAATGTGCATTATGTCCCTCTGTCCCATATTATCTTTCTTTTTAACACGCCCCTTAAGAAATATTAATTAGGGAAGGAATTAAACTATTCTATCCTTAATTATGTCTTAAGATGTAATCTCTCTTCATTGAATATTTATTCTATCTATGTGCAGGGCGGATTTAGGGGGGCACAAGGGTGTTCACCCAAACCCCCTTCGCCAAAAAATTACACTATATATATATAAGGCAAAATCTGATTTTTACCTCTATATATTTGTTTTGAATCCCTTTTTCATAGCCCAAAAGCATGGCTTAGTGGTCAAGGAGGTTCAAACCTATCATGAGGTCATTGGTTCAATTCCCAGTTTCCCACTAGCTACAATCTCTTTAAATTTTTAACTTATTCCTTTTTTGAACCCCCTTAGCAGAATTCCTGCCTCTGCCACTGTCTATGTGTTATCTCTATCTTCAAGAACAATTATTACTAAGGGTAAAAAAAGAAAAAAAACAATCAATTTTGTCTTAAACTTCTAAAATGACAAATAATTTGAGACAACTATTTTTATTAACCACGACTATTAATATGAGACGGATGGAGTATATGCTATTTCTTGGAATCACCCTATTAAAAATGCTGTCCCCATTTTATAGGGCTGCTATATATTATTCCCTCCGGTTTAATTTACTTGATTTTTTGATAGTCCCACAATATTTGATTTTTTTTTCAGTTATCAAGAAGGATTTAATTTCTTTTTTTCAAAGTTGCTCTTGGAGTAAATAACTTAGGAGTAATTTGTTATGTTTTCAATGAACAAATTAAGGTTAATATGATCATTTCATTATTAATTAATGTTAAAAAGTGCATTCCTTAAAACAACCAAAAAATTAATTAAATGGACCAAAGGAAGTAAGCTTAGAAAAAAATCTCATTATAAGAATAGAAAATATATTTGCAAGTAATTATTTATAAAAATTGGAACTATTAACCTAGAAAATAAGATAACTACTTATTATAATAGTTAAGAACGTGGAACGTCATTATAGAATCAAGACATTATTTTATTTAAGTAGAGAACAATAGAACGACTTAGGCCCCTGGCCCTTAAGAAAAACTCCATAACTATTCAACCAACTAGAGCCAGATGTTTTTTGTTTAATTAAAAACGAAAAGGTAAAAAAGAATGATATTAAAGAGATAGAATGTACTGGAAATTAAAGAGAACCCGTGAATGAGAGATGTCACTTTTCGTTGGTGTCTGTGACTCTTTATGCCAAATGTTGACTAAATTTATAGTTTCCCTAAATTTAGAGGCTCAAAAATGATAGACATTGCCCTTGCCCTTTTTCTCGTCTTTTCTAGCATTAAAAGAAAATTTTTTCGTGGTTTTCAATCCGATGTTCGATACTTGCATTGGGACATAATTTTCTAGCCTTAAAAGAGTTCTTTTAAGTTTTCGATTGGATAGTCGGGAGCTGTGTTAGGGGCTGATAAATTTAGATTCGTACCAGGAAATCCTACGTTGGGGTAAACCGCTCCCTAACAAAGGCTATTTCATATCCATGGTCCGAACCTGTAACCTCTGATTAAGGATGAAAGAATATTTATTACTGTACCACAACCTGTTTTTGGTCCATTAAAAGAAATTTCACTTCATTTACTAGTAATTGTGTTTAATCTGTGTCCTTATAATAGTTTAAGCCTGCGTTCTTTTATTTCCATCATTTTCAATTCACTATTGCTTGGTCTCTAATTTTTGCTCTTTTTTGGGAAATTGTTTTGCAGAAAAATAAATAAGAAAAACAGCCAATTAGACGAGCAGTCTTTTCCACCAGTACAATTGCTTAGATTGGAAGATTATGTAATATCCTCTTTTACCACCTTTTAAAGCTTTCCACTTTCCTTTTATATATAATTTTTTTTTTTAATTTTTACTCATTCTCATAGATTAAATTCGTAGAAAAATGAAAAATGGTGGCTGATGAACATATAGGCAACTCTACTAATTTGGAATAATTGAAATAAAGTTAATTGATATAAATTTTATTCTTTTATTTTAAGAAAACCCTTTTATATTTCCATCTTATTTTTTGTTCTTTTAAAGGTGGTGGTTAATAATGGAATTTTCAACATCACTTTCTCTATTCCTGGAGGAATGGTCACTGGAATACAATACAATGGGATTGATAATTTATTGGAAGATGAAAATGAAGATGATAATAGAGGGTAAGTTTTTTACACATTCTATTTAATTCAATTTTCTTTTTTACATTATTCATTTTATTTGAATTCTTGAAATGAAAATAGGTATTGGGATATTGTTTGGAACAATCCAGACAAACCAGGAATTTTTGACAAGTACGTTTTATTTTCTTTTTTCCTACAAATTTTGATTCGTAAAATGCATTTTCAAATTATCATAAACTAAAAGGAATTTCTATTTCTGATATGCAGACTTCATGCAACAGATTTTAATGTTATTATGGAAGATGAAAATCAAGTGGAGCTTTCATTTACAAGGACTTGGGATTCTTTAAATAATTCACATCTTTCCATGAATATTGACAAAAGGTGGTAATTTAAGTCTCTGTACCTTCATCTTTGCCATAATAATCGTTAAATGCATTAGTATTATTCTCGTATTTTCTTACACTTATTATTCTATTACTAATTATTCCTCTTACTTCGATTACCTCATTCTCTTGCTGTTGTTAATGCTTCTTTTTTCCATGGCTTTTATAATACTTCCGAATTTCTTAAAAGAACGAGAAAAATGATGTGACTATAACACTAAGAATGTATTATTATTATTATTATTATTATTATTATTATTATTATTATTATTATTATTATTATTATTATTATTATTATTATTATTATTATTATGTCATTATTATTCCAAGAAGAAAAATTGTCATTAATTACTCATTTATGGACGAAAATGGAGCTATTTAGTCAAACATCCATTATAAAATGATGCTATTAACTATTTATTGTGATTGTGATTTAAGAGATTCATTTGTGATTTGTTGTGGTGTAATTAAGATATATAATAATCGAGTTTTACCAAACTTAATTTTTTCCTTTTTTCTAAGCTCGTAGGTTTATAATACTAAGAGGAAGTTCTGGATTTTACTCTTACGGTATTTTGGAACGTTTGGAAGGATGGCCAAATATTGATGTCTACCAAGGAAGAATTGTCTTCAAGCTCAAAGAAGAGTTGTAAGTAAATATAAAAACTATAGATGTCAATATTATTTATTCTCTTTTTTTCTTTCCTTTATTATTGTCTATCATTGGTAAATTCCCTTAGTCACCTATTTTATGTATTATAGTATTCTTTATCAAGCCGTGAAAACATTCTCTTGCAGAAATACAGGCTAAGACAACGTACAATAGACCCTTGTGGTTCGACCCCTCCGCAGACCCTGTGCATAACGGGAGCTTAGTGCACCGGGCTGCCTTTTAGTATTCTTTTTTAATTCATTTATGGGGCCCACTCGAGTGGCGGGGTATGGTTTATTATTTATTTTTTTCTAAATAATTAAAATTAATTATTAAATTTTTTGGGGCAGGTTCCAATATATGGCAATTTCAGATGAACGGCAAAGGGTTATGCCAACGGCCCAAGATCGTGAAATGGGCCAAAAACTTGATTATCCAGAAGCTGTTCTTCTTACAAACCCAACTAATTCTTTCATCAAAGGAGAGGTAAATTTCAAATTCTAAAGTATTTTTTTAATTCTTATCTTTAATTTTATTATTTACTCGAAAATATTGTATATAGGTTGATGACAAATATCAATATTCTTGTGAGAACAAGGATAATCGGGTCCATGGGTGGATAAGCCCAAATCCACGAACCGGATTTTGGATGATCACACCAACCGATGAGTTCAGAACTGGTGGGCCTCTTAAACAAGACCTTACTTCTCATACCGGCCCAGTAAACCTCAATGTAAGTAACTTCTCCGGGTAAATTTAAAAAATAGCCGTTTTCTGGACTTGTAATTGAAAAATAGTCATAGATTGAATAATCATTGAAAATAGCCAACATTCTAAAATCAGGGCAGTATCTCGGATGTTTCACTTGTTTAAGTTTGAAATCCATGGCACTGTTATGGTGTTTACTTTTCAACGTATTTTCAAACTCTGGCTATTTTTCAAAAGGGTCCAAAAAGGGCTAGCCTGCACAACTTTTACAACTTATCCATATATAAAAATAAAAAAAAATGATTTTTTTAAACTATTTTTCGATTAAATTTTCATCTAATTCAATAAACTGCTGTCATTTTTATCGTGCAAAAACTACGAATTTCAAAGTGTATTGGGTGCATATTAAGTGTTGCGGCCAAACGCACACGCAAGTATACGCGGTCGTCAAGTAATAAAGTGACTAAAAGTCGGATGTCGATCCCACGAGAACTTTTGATTAACTATTAACTAAACTAGACGATCCTAATTATCTAAACAAGAATAAAACCTAGAAATATTTGATTCTAAACTAATTAAAATAAATAAAAACAAATAATGAACTTTGGATAGAGAAAGAGCAGATTTTTATGATATCAATGTAATGAAAACGATTTAGGGTTATGGGCTATCTAACATTCCTATTGTATTCTTCAATTGAATTAACTAACTAATTTACCTAGTTTATTGGTTGACAGGGTTAATATTGCTCATAAGAATCTGTCGAGTTCTTACTCGCCTATTCAAGCTAACCTAACGCCTATATGTCTATGGAGTTAGAATCAACAAGAACGCATTTATAATTCCTGTAAATCAACCAAGCAAGGCAATTAGGTATATGTCTATCCTAACCGCGAATCCGTTCCCCGAGGCCCAGGTTCAAGAACTTGCTCTACTCAATCCTATATGCAATCTAGAATTCCCACTTTCGAGTTCAACTCTAGATTCGTAGATAGTATTAAATTGGTGATCAAACAATCAAATAATTAAGTGCAGGATTGAATAAATAAACCAATATGATAAACTAAGAAATCAAAATCGATATCCGAATAACAATAGTCATGAAAGAACCACAACCCTAGAACGTGAAGTTTAGCTCCACATAGACATGGTAGCAAAACAACAAATCATACAAAGAAACATAAAAATTACTAAGTTGGTGGAAGAAAAGATAAAACCCGGCCTCCACGGCGGCCCTGTGCTCTTCCTTGGTAAAAAATTACTCTAAAAAACGTTCTCCTATGTATATATACCAAGTAGGGTTGAGCCCAAACAATTATACCTTCTCCAATGTGAAAAAGGACACTTTTCCCGGGCTTAACTAGCGCGGTCGCGCACCTGGACGCGCATCTGGGCGCGCTAGTTGACAAGTGTTCTGTTTCTGGGCGCGCTAAAACTAGCACGACCGCGCATCTGGGCGCGCACTTTTCACCCTGTTCCGTTTGGAATTTGGAAAAACATAAAACGTGAAAGTTGTAGCCCTTTGGGTTAGCTTTCCAACCATATATTGTGGAGCCAAAATGGAGTTATGAGAAAAAAGTTATATCTATTTTACTAGACAGTGCGCAATCTGCCTACTGAAGTCTTCGTTTGCTCTAACTATCATCCGTTGACCCCCAAACGCGATCCCGGCTTGTATCCTTGGGCTTTTACTCAGATTTTAAGCTCCAAATCACTTGAATTCATTCCATAACATCTATATAGCTCGGAATCATTCCTACAAGGCATAAAATATACAATTAGTGCAAAACACTAGCGATTAAAGCTCAAACTCAATTAAAGTGCAGTAAATTAGAGTGTAATAATCGACTAAAATACGTAATTATAGCCTATCATCATTAAGCTTAATATTTTTGGGCAAAGGTCACTTTTAGCCCGCAGCCAAAACTATTTACATCATGGAACCGAAAAAATGTTTAAAATTTGTATATAGCATACAACAATGTATGTATGTACAAAAAATATACATTTTTTCGGCTAATATTTTTAAAGCTGTTATATAGTGTCATTTTTTCATTTTTTCCCCGATATCAACCGAATGTGACCTAAGAAGAAGAATGTGATCCGTATGGTCAAATATGGGCCAGATTATATATAAGTATTGATAAATGATCACTATGAGTCACACATAACAGAATTTGATCAATTCTATTTGCCGTTAATGTGGAGTACTTAACGTTATCCTTCTGGTCAAACACGGACCAGATTACTTACTTATCTAGTACTAATTAATCGCGATAACATATTTAACAGATGTTTTTTAGTACACATTATGCTGGAGAGAGTTTGGGACTGAAATTTAGAGATGGAGAGCCCTGGAAAAAGGTGTTTGGCCCTGTTTTTACCTACCTAAACTCTCTTTCACCTGATGAGCTAGACACTCTTACACTATGGACCGACGCAAAAGAACAAATGTTCATAGAAACTGAAAATTGGCCATTTAATTTTCCTCTATCGGAGGATTTTGTTCGATCTGATCAACGGGGTATTGTAACTGGCAGATTACTCGTTCATGACAGGTACATTTACTTAAAATAGCTCTACTATAATATAAGAAAATGACTAAATTATAAATGGTGATCAAGAAGCTAGAATTCTTTTTTGTTGCAGCTATGTAAGTGATAAGCTTATTACTGCAAACTCAGCTTTCATTGGATTAGCTGCTCCAGGAGATGTTGGATCATGGCAAATGGAAAACAAGGTAAACTTTTTTATTCTTTTTTAAAACTCTTTTCTCTTTTTATGGTTAATTACTACATCCTTTGTGAATTTCCAGCTTTTACTTGTAATTGGAAAAAATTTATGTATTTTTTTTCCTTCAGGGTTATCAGTTTTGGACTCAAACAGATACCGAGGGCTATTTTTTGATTAATAATGTCATCCCTGGAAATTATAGCTTGTATGCTTGGATCCCTGGATTTATTGGAGATTACATGTACGACGCATACATCAATGTCACCCCAGGTTTGCAAATTAGTTTTAATTACACCTGTATTTGCATCAAATATTGAGTTGATATTTCAAAGTCAATATTATTTTTCCATCAATTATTGGTCAATAAATAAGACACTCCTTCCATTCAGAGAGTTCAAGAAAGAAACCTTTTTAACATGTTGTTTTAAGGATGCTATGACCAAGTGGCGTAACCATATTCATTGAAGGGTGGTCAACCGAACACCTTTCATCGAAAAATTATACTGTGTATATGCAAACTTATATTGTGTATATAGGTCAAAAGTTATTTTTTATACGTGTATATTAAATGTTGAACACCCTTCGCGAAATTCCTGGCTTCGCCATTGGCTATGGCAATTCTGGGGCTTATAGCGTATAAGAGCACTTCATTAAAGAAAAAATGGAAAGCTTGATGTTAAAGATTTCCAAATAGTAGTATAAAAAGGTGTTATTCTTTTTGAAACAGACTAAAATTTGAGGGAGTATTTGATCTGAAATACAGCAGTAAATATTAGTTTTTACTACATTAACATGGCTATGGATAAAGCAGGATCAAGAACGAGAGTAGAAACTCTCGTATACGATGCCCCAAGAAATGGTCCAACACTGTGGGAAATAGGAATTCCAGAAAGGACTGCTTCTGAATTCTTCATTCCTGATGCACAACCAAGACTTCTGAACCAATTATATGTTGTAAATAATGCAGAAAGGTGAGCTAAATTTCATTCAAATAGCGATATTCTATCAAGTTTTTATATATGTTGGTTTTTTTCATAATTAGAAATGTATTTTGTTGGTTTTTTCAGGTTCAGGCAATATGGATTATGGGATCGGTATACAGAGATATACCCTGATGATGATTTGGTTTTTACTGTTGGATTTAGCAACTATCAAACAGATTGGTTCTTTGCTCATGTCAATCGATATATTTACAAGTATGTTCACAACATCTTTACACACTTTAGCGCATTTTTTCATTAGAACCTTCCCTTTGCATGATAAGTGAAAGATCTGAGTGTCGATAGCGGAGCTAGAATTTTCACTATGGGGTGTCAAAATTATAAAAAGTAAATAAATAAAGAAGTTAAAGGATTTCAATACATAGTGTATATAATTTTTACCTTACAGTGTATTTTTCCGACAAAGGGGTGTCAGTTGACACCCCTTGGAGCTATGTAGCTCCGCCACATGCCGAGTGTGCTTTGTATGATAGAAGCCATTATTCATGAAAAATACAACAACAATAACAAAAAAACCCACTGTAATTCCACAAGTGGGGTTTGGGGAAGGTTGTGTGTACGTAGCCTTACCCGGCCCCTACCTTGTACAGGCAGAGAGGCTATTTTCGGTAGACCCTTGGCTCCAAATTATTCATGAAACACCTGAAAATGACTTTCGTCGTATCGAACACACCTTCCACATTATACTTTCTAAGGAATATGGACCATATAATAAAAGAGATCTAACAAAACATTGCATATTTTAATTTATTATATAGTCTTGATTCTGACCTTGATTATACAGTGATGATGGAAACAAGACTTATGTACCAACTACATGGCAAGTTCTATTTGATCTGTATGATGTTGATCAATCAGCAAATTATACTCTTCAACTAGCATTAGCCTCAGCAAATGATGCTGAACTTCAAGTATGAACTAATATCTTCTCAATCCTTTTTCTTGTAACTATCCGAGTATAATCATAAGTTTTTCGACTAATTACATGTGTATGTTCCTTTGTTTTTAGGTTCAATTTAATGACCCAGACACAGATGCTCCTTACTATACAACAGGGTTAATCGGCAAGGATAACGCGATAGCTAGACATGGAATTCATGGAATATACTGGCTATATACTATAAATGTTCCTGGTTCTCTTCTTGAGTTTGGAACCAATGTTATGTATCTCAAGCAAACTAGAAGTGAAAGACCTTGGAGAGGAATTATGTATGATTATATTCGTCTCGAAGGCCCTCCAGAAAGTTATTAATCCGGAGGAATTATTGAGCTTAAACTTATAGATGAAATCGGAACGGGGAAATTTTGGGGTTGTAGATGTTGATAGAATTTGAATGCTCAAGAAAAGTTGATTGTGCCTATTTGTTTGATGTTTTATTAGTAGGTGCCTGTAAATTTTTGGTAGCTTAATCTACTAATCTTGAACCAGTAAAAATTTAAATGATACTAGTAATGTGCTTAAGCTTTTAAACTTTTTTCCCCCTTCTTTTAGCTTTATGTTTCAAGCACGTTGACATTTAATTTTAACCAAAAATAGAGAAATATAGAAACGCTTGGCAAAATAGCATGAACTAGTCATTTTTCGGATCGGTAATCGAAAAATAGCTAGCATTTGCAAAGTCATTGAAAAATAGGCACTGTTTTGTTTAAACACGAAAAGTTTCATGCATGATTATGGAGCTCTTACGTATAAACTTCCTGCACATTATGCTGGAACTTCAGCACACGGAAAGTTCTAACATAATATGCGGGATAATGGAGCTCCTGCGTATAAACTTCCAGAATATTATGATGGAACTCCGACACATTATAAAATTTCAATATATTATGTTGGAAGCTCATGTTAAAAACCCGAACTCCAGCATATTATGTCGGAATATTTTCGGGTTTTTAACAATGTTTTTGTTCAGATTTTTTTGTACATGAAGAATAATTAAACTTTAATTATTTTTGAAACTGTGACTATTTTTCAATTATCAGTTATAAATCTAGGTACGTAAACAGGAAAAAAACTAAAGAAGGTAAACCATTCCTTTTTTGTGACCGCAGACTTGTTGTTAACTTTCCTTATTTATTGAACAAAAATTTCTATATTCATTAATCATTATGTTCATATCCAAAGAAGTATAAAATTAAATTTCTCTTAGTTCTACAAATTTCTTCCCTTATGTGTTATATTGTGCAATTTATAGGATAGTAATTTATCATAAATAACTGGAATTTTGCCAAAATTTGGGCCAACCGGCCAAACCGACTTTGACAAAAATATGTCCATGGTTAGCTGTAAATACTTAAATAGCTAATAAAACTAAACTTCAACTTTAATTTCCGTTTTACCGTGAAACAAAAAAATAAACTTTGCATCTTACATGAAGCTAAATTTGAAGAAATTAAATAAGGAATTAATAAGACCATACTGTAGTTAACCATTTATTACATATTATATAAATACAAATTCAAACGATCTATATATATGCACAGAAATTGTCTGTTCTTTTCACTAATTATTTTCTAGTTCTTCCACTTTGAATTTAGAAGAGAAGTTTTTTCTGTGTCTTAATAAGGTTCACATAAAAATTTCTCTTCGTCGATCTGTCTTTCACTCTTTTTATTTCTCAATTTTTCTGTGTTATGGTTGTTTTTTATTGCATGGCTTGTGATAATATTCATTGGTTTTTGTTTAGAGTCAAAATTATGACGAACAATTTATAATTTTTTTACATCATCATATTAAGTAGACGTACAATAATAGTTACTCTTTATATAGCGTAAGCTGAAAAAGTAGAGTAATAGTCCATTATAGTCGAGGCGGATCCAGGATTTAAATTTTATGGATTAAATCTTTAAGATTTTTAACATTGAATCCATTATTTTCTTAAAGTTATGGGTACATATATATTTTTTGTTGTAATTTTAGTAGATTTTTACACTTAAATCTGTATTCTTATATTATTATTGTATATAACTTAAATTCATTTATTTAACGTTGACGTAATTTTTGCATGCATGGTTTATGACAATATTCGTGGATTTTCTTTAACTTTGATGTTTGTTGTGTTGCAGTGTTAAAACATACAAAAGATGGGGTTCAAAAAGCAAAACAGAATAGTTTTGTGGTGTTTTGCTATTGTTTTCCAATTTTTATTGCTTGTCAATGGTTCAAAGGTGCAACATTCTAGGTACTACTAGAAATTATTTCTTTTCTTTTTAAATATGTGAGTTTTAGGTACGAGTTCGGCATGCAAAACCCAATAACTTTAGCTAGGACTTAATATATTTGTATTAAGAAAGTTATAAATTATATTTAAACAATTCAGTCAAGAATCCAATAAACTGCTTTTTCTAGTATACATAATCTATAAACTCAAAATTCTTTATCCATCTCTAATAATTACTATTCCAACGTATAAAGTCATTAACAATTGAAGAAGAAAATACCATACTAAGTGACTAAGTTATCGCATATGTCCTTATTAATTAGTTCGTCCATAATTTTCTTTATACATATTGTAAGGTGTAATATTCCAATGATACTTGAAATTAACGACTAATTTATTTATTTAAATTTTATTTTCTCTTTTAAATTGCAGGAATAATCTATCCAAAGAGAGTCGAAAACTGCAACAAGTTTCTCCTCCGGTCACAATGACGATCATAAATGGCTATGTAAAACCCCTTTAAATATATTTAATATTGCACCTTTTCTATTATTAGGATTATTTTATACGAAACAAATTCACATTGAAACTTATGTTTTATCAAGATCAAATATTGTTACCACTTGTTCCTAAGATTTTATTAACTCTCTCTATATATATATATTTAGCTAATCTTTTACTACTTATTTATTAGGTGGTAATTGATAATGGCATTCTGCAACTTTCTCTAACAAATCCCACTGGAGCAATTGTTGGAATAAAATATAACGGGATCGATAATCTCCTAGAACCCTTGGAAGAAACTCAGAGGGGGTTAGCTACAATTTTATTTTTATTATTATTTTTTATAATTAATTTAGAGATTTAGAAATTACTCGGTATAAAAATTATTTCTTTTTATTTTTATCAAAATACAGATACTGGGATACTGTGTGGAACGGTCGTTTTGACACGTAAGATTTTTATATTATTTTTTTTAAACAAAATGGGATTTTTCACGTCTAATTTTTTTTTTTTTTTTTTTTTTTTTTTTTTTTTTTTTGGGGCAGGCTATTTGCGTCAAGTTTTAGTGTAATAGCACAAGATGATAACAAAGTTGAAGTTTCTTTCACAAAAACATATAATCCTTTGGATGCTGGGAGTGCTCCTCTAAATGTTGACAAAAGGTGAGGGTTTATTTTAGAAAATTAATAATACTTTTAATTATTTACTGAAATTACTTGGGGATAAAAGGTTGATTTGTAATAAAATAAATATATGTATATATAGGTATATAGTGCTGCGTGGGAGTTCTGGATTTTATTCATATGGAATAATTGAACACTTGAAAGGATGGCCTGATGTTATGTTGGATGAACTTAGAATTGCTTTCAAGCTCAGCAAGTCACTGTAAGTTCACTATATATATATATATATATATATATATATATATATATATATATATATATATATATACTTATTCAAAAGGAGTCAATTAACACCCTTTCGTCAAATATTATATTGTGCAAATATGTCGAAATTTACTATTTGTTGAATCCCCTTGACTATTTCATATGTATATTTCTTTATATTTGGACTCACCTTAGTGAAAATACTACCGACGAGACTATTTTAATGCTTTCGAAATTTGCATGAATTATGCAACATTTGCTAATATGTTATATCCCCTTGACTTTTTCATGTGTATATTATTTTATTAGTGAAAATATGACTTACTGCTTAATGCTTCCAAAAATTAAATTTCTTGAACTATGCAATATCTAATACTATATACACATATACGTGTGTCATTGACAAGTCAATTCCAAATTAAATTAAAGTCTTTTGCATAATTGAAGAGGACAGTACTTATTTTGTTGGACATTAACTTTGTGTAATATTTGGTGACCTTTTTATTTTTCTTTTAATTTTATATTTATGACTAGGTTCCATTATATGGCAATATCAGACGATAGGCAAAGGATAATGCCATCAGAAGAGGATCGCGCAAGTGGCCAAGTACTTGATTTTAAAGAAGCTGTTAAACTCATAAATCCATCCAACCCTAAACTCAAAGATGAGGTAAAAATATTTTTCCAATATTCAACTAAGATATTTTATTGTCGAGTTTACACTAATAATATAAATAATCAGGTTAAACTAACTTACAATAATAAATAGATTCATAATTTATTATGACAAGTTAAATTATACTGATGTTGTTCTTTAGGTGGATGACAAGTACCAATACTCGGATGAGATTAAAAATATTAAAGTACATGGATGGATAAGTGATACTCCACATATGGGATTTTGGGTAATTTCCCCAAGTTATGAATATTGCAATGGTGGTCCTATGAAGCAAGATCTTACCTCTCACGTTGGTCCAACATCTATGGCAGTAAGTAACGAATTTTTACGCTATCAATGTACTGAAGTTAAACTTTATAAAAAAATATTGTAAATAAAAATTATTATAAATATTTGGGCAATTTATCTCCTTTTTATTGTACAGGTATTTTTCAGTAGTCATTATGCAGCACCACTATTGGGAGTTTCACTAACAAATGGAGAGGCATGGAGAAAGGTTTTTGGCCCTGTATTTTTCTATGTTAACTCAGATTCTGGCATTGATCATACCGTACTTTGGGAAGATGCCAAAAGACAGGTAATTAATTAATCTCAATTAGTATTGTTAATTTTACTTAATAAATATATTCATTTAAAAAAATATAAAGTAAACACTAAAATTTTGTCAATTTTTTGCAGATGAATGAAGAAACTACAAAATGGCCATATGATTTTCCAGCATCAATAGACTATCCCCATGCAAATGAAAGGGGCTCAGTTAGTGGTCAATTAGTGGTCCATGACGGGTAATTTATTTTTAAAGAATTAACCGAAATAATCACCCGCCCATCCTCTTAAATTAAAAATAGCCGGTGAATGTTTGATATGTCTATAATCATATATAATATCTTTTTTTAAGTTCTTACTTATTCTCTAGTTAGGAAGTGATATATATTCGAGTTTAACATTTATATACTAACAACTTAACAAAGGTTTTATATTATTAAATTGCTTAAAAAATAACTACAGATTACAAGTAACGAATGGTGTAAATTCTTTACATCGTCAATGGATATAACTTAAATAATTATATGGTAAAATAATTAAAGGTTTCTATAAATGTCGCTTAGGTACATAAACAGAGATCCTTTTCCTGCAAAAAATGCATATATTGGACTTGCTAATCCTGGAGTTGTAGGATCTTGGCAAAGTGAGACCAAGGTAATATCTTTTTGTCTATATTTTCTATATATAGAAACTTGAATATATGGTTAATTATCACTAACGTTATATTAAAAATATTCTTATTATGCTGTTTTATTTATTTGTTATTGACAGGGTTATCAATTTTGGACTCAAACTGATGATTCTGGTTATTTCATGATAAGTAATGTTAGACCTGGAATTTATGGTGTATATTCTTGGGTTCCTGGAATTATTGGAGATTACATGTTCTCCTCTTATATATCCATTACACCAGGTAATGTTCGACTGAAAATGAAGTTTAAAAAAAAATACATGTAATCTCGTTTCTATAGCTATAAGAGCATGTCATGATTAGGATAAAATATGAAGAGCCTATCATATTATTGATAGGGGTGTCAAATAGGCGGGTTGGGCCGATTTTGGGTGGGCTAAAATGAGCTAAGTCAATAAGTGGGTGGGTCATTGACTCGCCCAAAGATACTTGGGTTGAGATGGATTGGGTCAAGATATGATAAATTTGAATCATAGCCAAACCGCCAAACTCTTAGCTAAATAGCAGCCCACCTAATCTTTAAAATTGAAAATAGCCAACGGATGTATAATATCTGTCTAATTTACATATAATACATATATAACTATGTATAATCAATATATAATTGATGTATACCGGCTAGAAAAAGTAAACATTGAATCTGACAGGATATTTGTGTAACAATCCTAACTTTAGTTAACATCCGTTATTTTCTTATGAATTGTTTAATTACTAAATAAGACTTTTTTACTTCACCAAAAAATATATTTTAAAGATATTTTAGCAAAGTTACTCATGGATCAATCTGGGATAGCCCAATTTTAGATGGGCCGAAAGGGGTTGAGTCAAGATGGTTTGAGTTCAACAAAAGAACCGGTCATTGACCCACCCAATCTTGGACGGGTTGAACGGGTCATAATTTTCTGGGCCAATTTTGACACCTCTAATCATATAAATTGAAACAGAGGGAGTATTTATGACATAATTTCTAACAAAAATTTGATTTATTTGGTGCAGGAAATAACATAGATTTAGGTCAAATAGTTTTTGAAGCTCCAAGAAATGGTCCAACTCTATGGGAAATTGGCTTCCCTGATAGAACAGCTGCTGAATTCTTTATACCTGATCCATTGCCTGGTCTTCAGAATTATTTGTACATTAACACTACTGTACATAAGTAAGCTTCAATTAATTAATCCTAATTTTCTATCAATTTTATTTACACAAAACAAAAACTCAACAATATGGAATTTCATAAATACATTAATTTCATTATCATTTATTTCTAATTACAGGTTTAGACAATATGGTTTATGGAATCGTTACGCGGATTTGTATCCTAATGGAGATTTAGTATACAAAATTGGCGTTAGTGATTATCGAAAAGATTGGTTCTTTGCCCATGTAACCAGGTGATTAGACAGTATAATTTCTTCGTTTAATATTTTGTTAATCGTGTATAAATTGTATGTTTTAATATTTTTTTATTTTTTTTTAATATTGCAGGAGAAATTTGGACAATACTTATGGACCAACAACATGGCAAATTTCATTTGATCTCACAAATGTGGATCCTAATGGCATTTACTATCTTCGTATAGCTTTGGCTTCTGCATCCTATGGCCATTTGCAAGTATGTAACATCTTTTATTTTTTAAAATTCATAAAGAAAAAAAAATTATGGAATAATTTTAAAAAATAATAAACAAATTTAACGAATTTAAGTTTTAAGTTTTTATGCATTGACGATTTAATAACTATTTACACATGAATCAAATTATTATAAGATAATTACATATAATTTTTATTTAAGTATTGATCGGTAACATAGTAGAAATAGTGCTGCTATAACCGGTTAAAGTACATTGATATTGTAAATAAATTTATTTTCAGTCTACTTTTTTTGACTAGAAATAGATTTTTACAATATCAATTTATTTTTTTCAGTCTCTTTTTTCATACCAGTAGTATTAGTATTATTTTTGAATTTTTAGATTTCTACTACTACATGTTGTTTCTTTCGTTTTTGTTATCTTATCATGTTATCTTGTTGTTGTTACTGCTTTTTTTTTTCTTTTCTCCTTGAGCCGGGGGTCTATCGAAAATACCCTCTCTACCTTTACAAGGTAGGGGTAAGGTCTGCGTTCACATTACCTTCCCCGAATTCTACTTATGAGATTATGCTGAATTTGTTGTTGTTGTCTACTTTTTTTTTTCCCATTAGTTTGTCCTTTATATCTCCATAACAATAAATGTAATTTTATTTTTATTTTTATTTATATATTTATAGGTGTGGATAAACACTCCCTCAAAACCAAGGCCATGGTTTGATACTTTACAAATTGGGCAAAGTAATGCAATAGCCAGACATGGAATTCATGGCTTGTACATGACCTTTGATATTCAAATTCCAGGGACTATACTTCAAATTGGTGAAAATATAATATATTTGAAGCAAGCTTCAGCTAATGGTCCTTTTAATGGACTAATGTATGACTATATTCGTCTTGAAGGTCCTCCACAATAAAAAAAAATTGTGGGGACAGAAGAGGATTTTGATGATCAGAAATAGATAGATTTATTTTTAAAAGTAGCTATGTGCGCAATCAATTTTTTATTAGGTAGTCATATTTTTTTTAGATTTTTGTATTCATTTTTTTTTTACGAGAATGGATATTTTTCTCGAGAATAATGTTTTGTTACCATAGCCTGATAAAATTTTCTCTCTTCGTTGGTAATCTTAGTTTTGTTTGTTTGGTTGTCTTCCGTTTATAATTATCTCTTAGCTAGTCTTTGCCTTATTAGCTTGTTTGATTTGATACTTATTATTCCTTCCTGTCTACTTTAGTTGTTTTTTTTTTGTGGTCCATAATGTAATTTTTTCAGATATCAAGAAGAAGTTAAATTTTTTTTTTTTTTTTTAAAGTTGCCTTTGGAATAAAGAGCCTAGGAATATTTGTTATATTTTTAATAAAATGTCATTTCTCGATTTTCTTGGTCAATTTTTTTTTTTTTTTTTTGAAACGCTGTTTCTTGTTTGTACCATTTTTTAAAAGCCTTTTTTTTGGAAGAAAATATCTTGAAGCTTTTTGAAGAATTCTTGTAAAGAAAAGGTTTTGTACAAAAACTTGTTGAAAAGAAGTTGTTACTATCAAATGTGATGTATTATCTTTTAGTGGTGTAAATCTCTGTGTTTGACAGACAAATTCTTAAAGATGCACTTATATTTCCTTATGTGTCCATCTTTATCCATGAATTTAATATATTGAAATTTGACCTTTTTCTCAGGATTTTCCACAAAGAAAGTTATTTCAAATTATACTAAGTACTCAAAAATACTTCTTTTGTGTTGGATTTTAAACATAGGAAATAATTTTCACCAAGTCTTCAATCTTAATAAGAAGTTTCGAATTTGAGCCCTAAGAATAGAATTTTTTTTGATAGGGAGCTTTTTTCTTTAAATTAAATAAGTTATATACACAATATAAATTTGAATTAATGAGGTTTGAAATACCAAACGATTAAAAGAAAAGCAACAACTTGTATTCTCTTCTAAAAGCTACTAGTATAACTTATTTTCAAACAAAAGACGTTGTAACACAATATTTACAACCTCTACTATCACTGAGGCCATAAATTCAACATTTGTCACTCTCATATCCAAAGTATCTCACCCTGAAATAATTAATTAATATCGCCCTATCTATCTTTGTAATACTATTTATAAAATTATTACTAAAATTACCGTTCATCGTATTAGACCTGTACCGGCTAAACTCATCAACCCCTCAAAGCAGCTTCATCCCTGGACGTAGAGCAATAGATAATGCTATCCTTGTACATGAAATTATCCATTCATTTCGTAAGCAAAAAGGTCGTCTAGGTAATATGATGATCAAAATCGATTTAGAAAAAGCGTTTGACAGATTAGAATGGTCCTTTATCAGATTCTCACTTCGACAATTAAACTTCCCACGCTACTAGAAATTCGGCAAAAATCGACCGCGGTCGATCGACCAATTTTGGTCGGCCAAAAAACCAACCAAAGTCGGTCGGTTTTTCAAAATATTTTATTTTTTAATTTTTTTACGAAACCGACCAACTTTGGTCGGTTTTCTTTGGCGCACAAATGCGAGAAACTATTTTTGAGTTCCGCGAAATTTATTTTTCACGAAACCGACCAACTTTGATCGGTTTTTCATTTAAAATAAATTAAAATTAATATTAAAAATACCGACTGAAATCGGCCGGTTAATTCGGCCGGTCATCTTAAAAAACCGACCGAATTCGGTCGGTAATTTTTTTTTTTATAAAACCGACCGACATTGGTCGGTTATTTTCGTGCGAAAATACAATTAAAGAGTATAAATGAAATAAAAGACAGTTTTAAAACAAAATGCACCAATGATCTACTGGTAGAATAGTATCCTGCCACAGTACAGACCCCAGTTCGATTCCCAGATGGAGCATTTTTTAATTACATAACTAAAATACCGACCGACTTTGGTCGGATTGGTCGGGTTTTTCGATAATTTTTTTTAATTTAATTGACCGACTCCGACCAACTTTTGTTGGTATGCCTTTCCGACCTTCAAAATACCGACCACACGTTAATGATCGCGTTTTGGACGGCTATTGGCCATTACCAACCTACTTTGATCGATTTTTTTGGATGATTTTTCCCGAATTTCTAGTAGTGCCACTACCCTTGATCAATCTAATCATGTCATGTGTTACCATTACTTCAATCTCCGTACTCATCAATGGGAAACCAACCCCTTTCTTCCAACCGTCAAGAGGTATATGACAAGGTGATCCATTCTCTCCGTATTTTTTTGTTATATCTATGGAATCACTATCTCGACTAATTGAACATCATGTTGACATCCTTACTTGGAAACCTGTCAAAATTACTAGGAACGCACCACTACGCTCCCACTTACCCTTTGCCCGTGACCTCATCTTATTGGCCAAGGCAGACACCCCCTATTGTCACGACCCAAAACCCTAACCTGTCGTAGTGGCGCCTTCGATGGTACTAGGCAAGCCGGTTTTCAAATACTTCGATATTTCATAAAAGATAAACCAAGAGCTTTTTATTAACAAAGTTTTCATAACAACAGGAGTTAAACTCAAAATATAATGCGGAAAGATAGCCCCAAACATCAGGGTCACCAAGGCATGAGCAACTAGACCTCTAGTCTAAGAAACAATGCTTACAATTGTTTGTGTCTAAATGTCAATACAGAAAAGAAAGATAGCTAAGGAGGAGAACAAGGACTGCGAACGCCGGCAGCTACCTCGTAGATCTCCGGTAATCGACCACGCACGAGATCAATGTCCTCCGTGATCGGACACACCTGGATGTGCACATGAAGTGCAGGGTGTAGCATGAGTACAACCAACTCAGTGAGTAACAGAAACAAATAAGGAACTGAGAAGCAGTGACGAGCTATAAAAGTATAGTTCATTTCAGTATTTCAGTGAAGAATAGACATGCTTTCAAATCCGGCAGTTTAAGTCAAGACAATTTTATACAGTTTCAAGTTCAAGTAGACCGGATATAAAAACTTCCAGGAATTTCACAACAATGATAGATAACAACTAAGTACAACAACAAATGAAAGCAAGTACAGCCTCTCAGGGCAACAGTCACTCAACTCATCTCAACAGCTCAATCACTCGGCTCTCAGCCTTCAGTACTCACGCTCAATAGGTACTTGCGCTCACTGGGGTGTGCAAACTCCGGAAGGGCTCCTACAGCCCAAGCGCTATAATCTGCATAACCAACTCACGTGCTGCACGGACAACTCACGTGCTATAATATCAAATCAAGATCCTTACGGACAACTCACGTGCTGCACGGACAACTCACGTGCTATGGTATCAATATCTCACCATTAGGCCCTAGGCCTCACTCAGTCATCAAGCTCCCTAGTCTCTCGGGCTTTCGGAAATCATATAAATCAGCCCAAACAGAGATAATAACATGTATCAACAAGGAATAAGAAGAGATAGAGGTATAGTACGTAAGTAAAATCATGACCGAGTACAAGACAACAAATTGCAGCTAATTCAACAAGTACACGACTCCAACAGGCCCCAACAGTGATATCATATGGCCTAAGCATGATTTCTAACATGAATTTCAGTCAAATCTCCATAAAACATAGGAAACACGTAGTTAACAGTAAACTATTCCACATTACAGTCTCACGAGACGGACCAAGTCACAATCCCTTCTGTGCACGCCCACACGCCCGAAACCTAGATGTGTGTCACCTCCAAAATAATCACACGACACAAAATTCGGGGTTTCATACCCTCAGGACAAGATTTATAACTATTACTTACCTCAATCCGGGCAAAACGCTACTCCAAAATGCCCTTGCCTCACGAGTCGGCCTCTGAATGCCCCTAATCTAGCCATAAGCAGTACAATACAATCAATATAGGCTAAAGGAAGTCAATTCCACAAGAAGACTACTAAATTAGACCCAAAAATCCGAAATTGGCTCAACCCGGCCCGGGGGCCATGTCTCGAAATCCAACAAAAGTCACAAAACCCGGAAGTCTATTCACTCACGAGTCTAACCATACTAAATTTATCAAAATTCGACACCATTTGGTCCTCCAAATCCCCAAAATTCACTCTCCAATTCTCAAGCCCTAAAGCCCAAATTTCACCTCAAAAACTCACCAACTAGGTGTAAAATCAGTGGGTAAACATCATTATTGAAGATAAATGGGCACAAGGAGCTTACCTCAGTAATCACTTTAAAATCCTCCAAAATTCGAGTTCCAAAATGTGAAAATAGTGAAAAATCTCGAAGTCTTCTATTTATAGGTTCTGCCCAGCAAAACCGCACCTGCGGTTCACTTAACCACTTCTGCGGACACACTTCTGCGATGGGCCGTCCACTTCTGCGAAGCTCCCTCACCCAGCGCCCATGCGCTTCTGCGGCCCAATACCCGCATCTGCGGCCTCGTAGGTGCGGGAAAGTCTTCGCACCTGCGGTTCCAGCTTCACTTCGCCTAGCCCGCTCTGTGCCCCTCTTCCTGCTTCTGCGGGCACGCACCTGCGGTGACCACTCTGCAGGTACGGTTATACCAGAAGCAGCACAACTTCAGCCATCCTGCAACATCAAACGTCAAGTTCGTTAACCACCCGAAATCATCCCGAGACCCCCGGACCTCATCCAAACATACCAACAAGTCTTATAACCCGATAAGAACTTAGTCAAATCCTTAAATCACTTCAAACAATATCAAAAACACGAATTACACACGAATTCAAGCCTAATGAACTTTGAAATTTCAAAATTCTACAAACGACGTCAAAACCTATCAAACCACGTCTGATTGAACTCAAATTTTGCACACAAGTCATAAATGACACTACGAACCTACTCCAACTTCCGGAAATCCAGTCCGACCCCGATATCAAAAAGTCCACTCCCGGTCAAACTTTCCAAAATTCCAACTTTCGGCATTTCAAGCCTAATTCTACTACGGACATCCAAATCA